GATAATCGTTGTTATGACGTCATTTTCTAGTAAACACTCAACTTGAATCAATGCACAATACTTAGACAACATAACTGTCTGTTATCGAGTGTTAGGTAACTGAATAACATGTGTATTATTTACGTTAGTTTTGTTGCAAGATGTTTTGGGTTCGATTCTGTTTTCAGGTACATACTTTATGATTTATACAGTAAGCTTTGCAATTATGGTGTTCGTCTAGCGTAGATTAAGATTCCAGTTCAAATCTAAATATCTTATTTTTAAATTGAAAAGTAAATTAGATTGAAGAAATCTAAGCCCAAAAGGTCTTGGCAGGAATTGAACCCGAGACAGTCCTCAACAGTTGTGATTGCAACGACTTGTCTGACGAGATAGTCAGTCAATTACTACTACTTTCAATCAAACCTTTCTCCAAATAATAACAGCCTTTTATCGCAATCAATACAATCAGCTGAACATAGAACCTCCTCCTTTTTTGAAGTCGGTAAAAATGATTAAATACTATAATACATCATCATACAATAACAATATAAAGATAACCACATCTGAAGTATCTTGTAACAAATTAACACTACCCTTACGCCCGCGGTTTTGCCCGCGTTTAAATGAGTAGCTGCCTTACGTCTCGAACCTGTATGGGAATATCAGAATAAAAAAGTAGCCTATATTACCTACTCGCTGAAAAATAAACTTTTTTTTAAATTTAGAAGATTTTTCTCGGGTCTAGCAATCAAGTAATCAAGAAAAAGCATTTTACTTGACAAGACAAGCATTTGACAAATACAAAAATTGTAAAAAATACATATGAACTATTTACATAAAAATGAATTTCCGTTCGTTAGTCTCGCTAAATCTCGAAAACGGGTTAACCGAATTAGCTAATTTTGAACTTGAAATGTTTGTAGACATCCAGGGAAGGTTTGAAAGATGAGAAATAAATTGTTTTTAGACGATACAACGTGGGAAGTCCATGAAGATTTCCATCACGTTACAAAAAAAAGCATAATATGCTTCTAAAAATAACACGATTTCTTTCAGGTTGGTTGCAGGAATACCGATATAAAAATGATCGTATGTTATTCCCTGAAAAGTGAGCTTAGCAAAGTAACAAAAAATCAAATCGGTCCGGTGATTTCATTACCTATTGAATACAAACAAACAAACAACCAAATTAAAATGTAATATTATAATACAATAAGTATGTATAAAGCAGCTAATAGACAAAAGGGCTCCCAAATGTACTGACAACTGCACATCAAACTATACCAAATTCAATCAATCTATATTCCGCCTTAACACATTAGAAATAGACTTGAAATTCAATTGAATAATTTTGACACACAAGGGTAGCTTGACATGCGGCTACTATTAGGCTGTTAACGACTATACATCTTGCTGTCGGCTCCACGCCGGTGGCCGATAGCCCGATAGCCTATAGCCGATACATTTGTACTGACAGCAAACTTAATAAGCTAAAGGCTAATTGATTGTGCGTTTAATCGAAATTGCGTACATTTGTCTTTTATGTGCGTTTTATTAAGTTCTATAAATATTTGATAAAATTATTTTTTCTTTTAGTTGTATTGGTCTTGAATAGTTATTAATTAACCCGTCGAGCATCCGCGTTCCTTATGCATTTCCTTATCCTTATGCATGCAAGAAAATGCATTTATTTGGCCATTGGCACACGAAAACAAGGATCATCACAATAGAAATAAAACAAATACAGTCAAAATAAAAACAAAACATTAATAATAGATTTTATAAAAGAGAAAGGAGCATGGATCATTTTTTCTTATGATCCACCGGGTGCTCATAAGGACGCTCGAGGGGTTAAATAGGGACAGAGACAGCCTTATTGGTCGAATAATCGCAAGCGCCATTGCCGAGCCAAGGGTTTCAGATTACTGGACTCCCAGAAAGGGTAAAATGACGGCGTGTGACAAGACTTATATCTATTTCGTATATAGGATTCAACATAATTATGAAACTAAATGGGTATTATATTTTTCTAAACGTAACATACTACTGCTTCTAAAATATCCCCCAAAAGATACTATAATTTCTAATATAAAAATAAACACAAAAATTATTGCTGTATTCTTAAAATTGTACAATTTTTACACTTACTTATGACGATAAGACATTATTCTACGCTTACCAAATCCCTTGCCAATCCCCAGTCACCAAACTGCTATGTTACCACTACCAAGTACCAAGAGATGCAATACAAGTCATACATACATACATACATTTAAAAGAGCCCATGAAAAATTGATCCCCACTTTGCCACTATCCGCTAAGGTAATGGAAGAGGAGATCGTAATGAATTGATACGGTATTCTGGGATTTATTTTAAATATTTATTAAAGATGGAAGGGTTATTTTCGCTTGAGTGGTTTGAAAATAAATTGGTTAGAAATAAAAGTTATTAATTATATACTGTAATACTTGTGACTCCTCTGGTGTTGCAGGTGTCCATGGGCGGCACTGATCGCTTACCATCAGATGATCCGTCTGCTCATTTGCCTCCTAATCCAATAAAAAAGTTAGGTATATTTTTGTAGATATAGATAGTAAACTTATACAGTATTCAGTATCTTATTATTAAAATATTTTCAAGATTAGTAGTTCTAAAGTTGATAATATGTCTAGAAACATATTTTAACTAATTTTAATTTTCAAAATAAAATGAATATTCCAATGCAAGAATGTAAATTGTCTTTAGAAATCTTAGCTTCAAAATATTCAATTTTAAGTAAACTTTTCCTCTTTCATTCTCAAATATTTCCAACACAGTTTATCATAATTTGTCTAACGAAAAGACCTACTTATCCTTGACTAAACACAAATTCGATAAGCATACTTGCATACATTAAAAAAGGTACAACTGTTGCACTGCAATACCTACCACATCCACACAATTCTTTCATCTCAACCCTCACACGCTTTCCTCTCCATTATTTAGGCATTTGTAACCGTCACAGCCACAAAGCGGTTGATTGTACCCGTAGAAGAAACACGGCCAACTTAACCTGACCCTTGACGCCCAGTTACATCTTGATTGATATCTCTACATTTGTTGTAGGTCCCGAGGCCAAGTGGACTGGTTTTGACACATTAATAATGTATTAGTGAAAGCATAGTCGTTTTTATTTTGTTTTTCTTCGGAACTTTAACTATTGGCGTTCTTGAGGCCAATTAGTGTTGTAAAGCTACTGAGTTAATGAGTATAATTATGAAAATTGTTTATTTTAATGATATTTTTGAATAATTCTATTTTTGAAAATTTGGAATGACTTCAAGTTGAATTTTAATGTGTTTTATGTGCCAGTTACGCTATTTGTTGTCTTTATCCGGGATTAGAAATGGCATTATTTTTTAATACTATTTCACCTTTTTTGGTGAAGATAACAATAAATGAACTAAAGATATTTTTAACCCGCTTTAGTCTCTCTAATGATAATAAAACAAGATTACTTTTCTAGTACCTAATCTCTTTACGTAACCAAAGTGCAATGATATTAGGAAATTGATTTCAAGTGAAAACGATAGTATCCTGTGTATAGATAATTATATTGATAGCAAACACCGGAAAATTCTTATTTCCGTATAAACAGCGTTTTATCTAATCTTTGTATTAGTAGATAGGTGTCCATTACTCAATTTGCCTGTCTCGTTCATCAAGTGGTTGCAAGTACATTTACTAGGTACCTGGTTAATTCATGACTGCCTTTGACTGCCTCATTGGCCGAAGGGTCGCAAGTGCGATTGCGGTCCAGGGGCTCGGGTTCGATACCCGGGTCGGGCAATATTACTGGTTTTTAAAAATCTCAGTCGGAGTGCCGGTGAAACCCGATGAGATGGCAGAGCGACACGACTTGAGAGAGGTTAGCCACAGGACTAACGGCTTTGCCGAACTTCCTGACTCCGGGCCAATAATTATCATTTTGCTCAGAAAATGCCATTATCACTTTTTGGCCATGTGGTTGGTTGACAACTGCGGCAAGACAGTTCCAACTGCAAATAACTGTATGTTGTTGATTATATTCGACTACGTGCAATTGAATACTTATATCGAGGTTGTCTGACAATAGCCTGAGAATCAGTACTGACCCAAACCTAGTTGGCAAATGATCAACAAAGGAGTTTTCTTTTACGACCATACAGACCTTAAAAACAACAATAACTCGGTATTTATCCAAAACACACCAATAAATTAACTACAAAATTAAATAGACTGCGATTCTACTGACAGTTACGACTTTTGAAGCGTGGGTCCAATGACTGTTTTCCCATTGTTTCGCCATAAAAACTCTATAAAACATGGCGAACGTAAAACTCTATAAGCTTTCTCAGCGATAAACTTTCTATACGGCTTAATTATATGAGGTACCTGGGTTTAATGAATTTATTTGTTTCCAATATTGAAGCGTGCCTATAAACTGGTAACAATTTTCCGCGGTAGGTACCCATGTAATGTCTTGTTGAACATCGCTATATGATGTTAAATAGTCTGTACCTAATCATACTGAAGAATATAAAGAAAGAAAGAAAGAAAGTGTAATAACCCATGACAGGTATCTTCTTAAACTAATGCTTTTTTATGGCCTAAGCCGGTAAGAGCAGACGGATCACCTAATGGTAAGTAATCGGCGTCGCCCATGGACACCTGGAACACCAAAGGCGTTACAAGTGCGTTACCGACCTTTTGGGGAATTAGGAGTTTAAAGATCGTTGGGGATTCAGGAATTGGGGAGATTGAGGAAGGGGAGGGTATTTGGGCCTCCGGTAACCTCACTCACACGACGAAACACAACGCAAGAGCACTCACGCAAGAAACCAATGCAAGTGTTGTGCTACTGTTAGTGTGGTATCACTCCAGTCGAGCCGGCCCATTCGTGCCGAAGCATGGCTCTCCCACACTTAAAACACGTGTGATTATGTTCTGTCATGAATTTAGTGCAGTATCTTAATTTTGTTTTGTATGTTTGTTACAGAGATCGAAGCGGCAGAAGCATGCAAATGGCTAAGGGCTGCCGGCTTCCCGCAGTATGCGCAGATGTACGAAGGTAAGCAGTTCCTAATTTTATTTAATCAATAAAAATAAAAGGACTTACAGGACTAGCGATTGGACACGAATTAGTATCAAATAGTGGCTGAGGGTGCCGGTTCGAAACCTACCAACGGCAAGTACCAATGTGACGTTTTCCGAGTCATATGTACTTTCTAAGATTATTTAGACACCACTGACATACGGTGAAGGAAAACATCGTGAGGAAACCTGGGCTTATAATTTCTAATTATAAGTTTGAAATCGCCAACCCGCATTAAGCAAGCGTGGTGATTAATGCTCAAACCTCCTCCGTGTGAGAAGAGGCTTTGCTCAGCAGTGGGCATTTATAGGCTGTTGATGATGAGTGGCTTGGAATACCGAATTAGGTTAACATTATTTGTTGGAATTCACAGAGATACTGTCTTCGCACCTCTCTATCTATGCAGAGAACTAAATAACAATATACATTGATGCATATAGATATTTTCTTTGTGACACATGACTAGTTAGGGAAAATCATTTTCAGTTTTTGCTAATTTTTAATTACATACATTATTCCATGTTACGAAATGAACTATTGCCATACCGTACAGGCGGGTGCATGTTGGTACAGAACGATCAAACATTATAAATGTACATTGCTAACGTCCTTATAACTACAACAACGATGCAACAACATAATAATGTAAGTTCAAGTACTAATAATACCAGCAATAAACACGAAACTTTCCTTTCAACAAATTCACAATAGGATATAAAGCTAGGATTTCCACGAAGTGCTATCCTATTAAGGACAGTCCCAATAATACAGTCCCGACCTGTCCCAACGAATCTATTAATCATACTTACCAGTCAATGCGCTGTTTGTCCTACATTTTGTTTATTGATGTACAGGTTGTTAAAATTCTGGTTTATGTAAATCAGCGTATGTATGGAATTTCTATTTCGTATTTACATCTAAGTGATTGTAACTAATCTATTCAGGTTTCTAATTTTTCCAAGTAATTCATAAAATAAGAATGGGTATTCGTTTTTTTAAGGATTTTTAAATTTACTAGCCGATTACTAGTAGTAAGTATACATAGATTAGATAGATTTCTATTCCTTGCTGTTGCCTCAAAACCTCTTAAAATATTATACTGATACCTCTTCTATTCTGAATAGAATAAATTCGGCCGACGACTGTAATTAATAATTAAAAACAATGATAATTCAAGCTCACCTCTAATTCGACACCATGCCTAATGCTTCACATTCGCAATTTAACTACAAATAAGTATTCCATTTTTCTACATAAACCACCTTTTTACAAAGAACTACAGTGACATATTTGAAACGTCCTGTACCAATGAGCCGGTAACGAAGCTCAGCTGGTCAGATGAAGCCAAATCCCACTCAATTGATCGCTATTCTTACGTTTATTAATGAAGGCATTACGTGGATATACCCCTAACTCCAACTTAGTAGTGTAACTAATATCCGAGGCGATAAGTTTTAGTATTTTTTTAGTGAAATAAGTACGCAGATATTGTGTATGGGAGTTTTATATTCGTTGTATTCTGTAAAAGAAATTTTGTTTATAATCGACTTAAAAATGAGGTTATCAGTTTTATCTGTATGTACGGGCAATGCTAAGGTCGTTGAAAAATGGCAGACACAGTCTCTTAAACAACCACTGTGGCACCTGGCTACTATAGACTTACACGCAGAAGATACACACATTGACACGTGGGACATCTGTCATTTTCCTAAGTCTGGTAACGTGGTAACCCGTTACACACGCACACATTAATAATCCACTGACATTTTTTTTTTCAATTTCCTTGATTAATGTTTGATGTTAAGTTAATATTTACCTGTTTGAATCGTAGGAGATATTATTGTAGGAGTATTGTTAAAACAAGTACTTTGTCACTTTTCGTTGTCAATTAAATATAAGTAAACGTAACTGTGGATAAAAAGTACTGCTCCAAAATTTAGTAAAATACCAAAAAGCCACAAAAATATAAATTTTATAAAACTAAAAAACGCAAATTAATTCAAAATTACTGGCGGCTTAGTTAACACAGGGACGCATTCGAAAAATTAAAATGAAAAGCGTGATTCCATTCTTTCAATTCAAGAGCATTCTAATTTTGAATTCTGAGGGCGTACTCCAGCGACGTGATAGGTCCGTTGGCTGGCCCTGTCCCTCTGGGCCCTTTAACTTAGTCCACACTCAATTTGTCTCATGCTTAGAAATTCTATTCATGTTTGAATTAAAACGACCAAAAGTTTCTACGTCACACTTTTGTCCTTAAAATCGAAAAAACTAAATTGTAATTTGAAGCGATTTTTGCTATACATTTTTAGATAATCTATACACTTTTTTGAATATTTTAGCCGATTCCTATCTTAAAACTTTTAAATAAAGTGGATTTTTGCGCACTAAATCCTCTTATCTTTGTATTGTTCTTAATCTTTGGGGTTTAAAAGTAAAAAGCGAATACCGGCGCCATCTTCTTGGCGTCATCGCTTATGCAAAAATGAAGCACCGAAAATGAATCAGCTATTGGCTAAATATCGTATTATTACAATAGGCATTTAATTACACAATACCTTTTATGCGAGAAAAGTTTGAACACATTTATTCTCATAACTAATAGTTACCTTTCGAAAATGATTTCAACTGGTATTGGCATTCGGTCTCATAAGTCTCATAACATAACACGCCTTTTATCCCCGAACGGGTAGACAGAGGTGCATTTTACGCCGCTTAAAGTGTACACCTACTTATCACTATTTATGTTATGAGTCCCATGTAATAGGAGGTGAGCCTGTTTCCATATTCTGTTTCATATGTAGTTAATTATATATTTAATAATGAAAAAAAAAAACAACTACAAGACTATGACAAAAAATAACCATCTTTATTGTTAAACAAAATACAAGTCATATCCACATTTAACTATCTCTCTATATTACATTTACGCTGACAATATCAAGTAAATTATCCTTTAATAGGAGCAAAAGGACCAAACGCTTACTCTCCTATTTGTGGCTTAAATATTCCATTATGGAGCCTCAGAATGGAATCCATTCACCAAATATGGAACCTAGAGATTGATCCTTTTTTCCAACATGACCCGCAGGTTATGAATAATTAAATTAAACCTTAAAAGGACTTTGATTACGTTCATTTTTTATTAGATTTTTTCCGTGGTGTTTTTTTTTATTTAAGGTCATTGGTGCGTCGCGTCGCCTAGTGGTTGAAATGTGTTTTATGTTTAGAAAAAAACATATGTAATACGGAGTGGTGATTTTTATTATTAAAGTAGTTTAGAGTCGGGATTTGTATTTTATGTGACCACATAATGTTCTAAGTTCAAACGATACGACCTTCAAACCTTCAAGAAAAGAGCGTATACCTTTTTAAAAGGCTGGCAACGCTCCTGTGACTCCTCTGGAGTTACGGGTGTCCATGGGCGGCGGTGATCGCTTACCATCAGGTGATCCGTCTGCTCGTTTGCCTCCTATTCCATAAAATAGTTAATCTTCTATGGATAAAAATGTCGTCTTAACAATACTATAGTTTAAGAGTATCAATAAAATGTAAAAACCTTTTAAAACAAACACTTTCTACTAATCGCCCAAATCCATTACTGTGTCAATATTTTTTTAAATAGATAATTACTTCATATACAATTTACAGCTTACACAACTCAAAACAATTCCTACTCTAACACCATACACTTAAAGATAATTTTCGCATGTATAACCTTTTTTTCGTTTTTATGACATACAAGCCATTTCCAAGGTCTTTATCATAATCTGAGATAAGGCTTACATAAAAATATGAATCGGAGACTTTTGTTTACACTTCTTTAGTGGCGCTGGTGTAGACGTTTTCCTTCTACGATATGACGTAATCCATTATCAAAGGATCGCGTCATTTACTGCGAAAAATTGAACAATTTCGTACAATTGTGATGAATCAGTTGTTGTGAATCTATAGTGATGAGAAGTGGCCATAATTTGATTAGTGATCTGTGTACATGTTGAAAGACTATGTGTCAGTGAAGTGCTTGTAATTAGGTGATAAAATGATTAAATTATTGAAATGTAAGTAGTTGTGGTGTTGGTATTGTATAGTCTGATATCGTGTAGTTTTAGTAGCTAGAGGACGCCACGTGATATATATTTGATAGTAGTTAATCGTGGTTAATAGATAGGGATTTAGTTTAGTGTCTAAAGTCTTGTACCTAGGTTTCGATGGTTTTCTAGCACATAATTAAATGCAGTACATAATAATAGGTGGTGCGGTGAAAGTGATTAGTCTGTTTTTTGTTATCATTATTGCATAAAAAATTAATACTTTTATCTATAATATTTTATAATACAAGATAACTAAAATTTTGGATTCCAAATGTTATGATACGAACGAACCAACCATTAACTAAAGATAGATTGGATTGGATTTCCATACATAAAATTTGTCATTACACTCAACAGTGTATGTTCGTCCAGTTATCATTCCCTAATCAATGAGACAATCATACATTCTAGAATTGTTTAACATAATTACTTAGATAAAGTTTTTAATAAACAACAAGTAAACACTTAATATCAAATATTATATTTTCCCTATTGACAAATCAACTGCAACACAGTGGGCAAAAACATTAAATTCTTGGAAAAAAGTCAATACTGGAACGCCGTGACAATTTGTATAAAACCTTATTTAAATGCTTTATAGATTTTAAGGAAGGTATTAAAGAAAATTTATCGCTACAATGAAACCTCAAATTACAAGCCACTTTATTTTTATTTTATTGCATTATATTTGTCATTTCTCTTATAAAATCTGTAACACCTGGCGGTAAAGAGAACTCACAAAGAAAAGCAAAAATTTCACTTAATTACTTTGAAATTAATTCGTAGGTTGTAAATAAAAGGCTTAAATGTAACCTCTCTGAAGTTACTTTTGCGGTAATATCAATTTTTAAGTGAGATTTTTATCTTAAAGTACAAATTGAA